TAAAACATTGTAAAACCAGCCAGTTACCGGGATAAAGCGTACAGTGTACTCGTATAGTGTACTCTTACTCCTATAGTGTACTCGTACTCGTATAGTGTACTCGTACTCGTACAGTGTACTCGTACAGTGTACTCGTACAGGGTACTCGTACAGTGTACTCGTACAGGGTACTCGTACAGTGTACTCGTACAGGGTACTCGTACAGTGTACTCGTACAGTGTACTCGTATAGTGTACTCGTACTCGTACAGTGTACTCGTATAGTGTACTCGTTCGTGATCAGTCGTTAAAATAAGTACCTAGTTAACTAAAAAAGATCGAGTTTTGATTTTTGACTGATCTGGAGCGCATAGAAGATAAAAATTTAAAGAAATGATATTTTGATGAGCTTTGAAAGAACCGCATTCAAGTCCGACACTTATCCCCAGAATTGATTGGATCTGAGAGATCTAGAAGTGACAATTATTTAATTTTCCTGTGATCTGGATGTCACAACAGTCAAAACTCTCGTAAAATAAACATTTTAATTTATTTGGAAAATTGGGGTTCAGGGTGGGTCAGAGTTGGACACTAGAAACCAATCAAAAATGACTATCCACAAGTTCAAGCTTCATTTTTGTTCGATCTGGTACGCACAGAGACCAAAATCTCGTAAAGTAACCAATTTCGTGTTTTCAGTGAATCGGGGTTCGTGGGAAAGAGGCAATGTTGCTTGTTGCTCCCATTTTTTTGTTTGCTTTCTTCCTTTTCTGGCCTGTGTGCCGTCCATTTCCCATATTGGATCGCATTGAATTCATTCGGAAAGCGAAAAAGGAAGCTTTTCAATATCTAGGGTGACTAGCTTTAGCCAAACTACAGCTGCTCGAAAAAGGGAATTGAGCAGAGAAGAATGGGAGTACTTTGAGTTTCTGAAATTAATCGAATCACCGTGAAATAGAGAATTTTGGTTGTGCTGACTTCCAGATCGCTTGAAAATGACGAAAAAAACAAAAGGTTTTCGGGAAAATTGGGCTTAATTTTCAGCAAACTGAAAAACTGCGTAATTGAACCGAGCTGATCTTTGCCTAGTCGTCATGAAATAGGGAATTTTGGTTGTGCTGACTTCCAGATCGCTTGAAAATGAAAAAAAAATAAAAGGCTTTCTACAAAATTGAGCTTAAAGTGGTGTAAACTGGAAAGTTGCGTAATTGAACCGATCTTATCTTTGCCTAGTCGTCGTGAAATAGAGAATTTTGAGTGTTGTGCGTTCCAGATCGCTTGAAAATGATAAAAAAACAAAAGGCTTTCTGGAAAATTGGGCTTAATTTCCGGTAAACTGAAAAGTTGCGTAATTGAACCGAGCTTTTTTTTTGCATAGTCGCCATGAAATAGAGAATTTTGGTTGTGCTGACTTCCAGATCATTTGAAAATGAAGAAAAAACAAAAGGTTTTCTGGAAAATTGAGCTTAAAGTGGTGTAAACTGGAAAGTTGCGTAATTGAACCGAGCTGATCCTTGCCTAGTCGTCATGAAATAAAGAATTTTGGCTCTGCTGACTTCCAGATCGCTTGAAAATGCCAAAAAAGCTAGGAGATTTGTTGAAAATCATCGAATTAAAGCTAGGATAAGCCTAATCTATACTATGAACTTCTGAAATTAACCGAGTCACCGTGAAATCGAGAATTTCGGCTCTACTGACTTCCAGATCGCTTGAAAATGATGAAAAAAGTTAGGAGATGTGTTGAAATCATCAAACTAACGTTATGATAAGCTATCTTTAGGTAAGTAAACCGAAATTTGAATGTTTTCGATGTTTTCTTTTGCTTTGCCTGCCTCTTTGCCTGGACAGTCGGATTTCTTTAAAAATGAAATTTTCTCATTTTTCGATAATCCGGGAGAAGTTATGACGCAATTCTTAATCCCAGATTCACCTGGGATTTCCAAGAGATTTTGTTTTCAAATTTATAGAAAACAAAACATTGATCAAAGTTTTTTCCGTATCCAATTCTCGTAAATCTCTCATTTTTGGCTGAAATAATGAGAAGAAATTGATCGGGGAGTGACGGGAAAAGGACGGGAAAAGGAAACGGAGAAAGGAGAGAACAGCTGAAGTGACACAGGTGGATTGGATTGGCTTTAATTGGATTGGCTTTATTGGGTTGACTGGATTGATTGGAATGACTTTTACCCACTCATAAAGGTAGGCAAACGTAAACGCACTCATAAAAGACCATAAGAGGCGAAAAACGATCGTTTCTCCGTGATGACGTCATTTTCAAAAAATCAAAATCAAGTCCCCCCTCATTTAAGCAAATTTTTTCCAAAAAACTACTTGTTTTTTCATCATTTTCAGCCGATCTGGAAGGCACAACAGCTAGAAAACGCAATTCCAAGTGATTCCAGGTAATCTGCATTTTCAGCATTTCTATCTTTAGCTCTGTGGAGCCTTGATTGGATTAGTTGGATTGGGTTGACTGGTTTGGGTTGCCTGGATCGATTGGAATGACTAGATTGATTGGGTTGACTTTTGGCAAAGGTAAACGCACTCATAAAAGACGATTCCCTAGTAAAAACGATCGTTTCTCCTTGATGACGTCATTTTCAAAAAATCAAAATCAAGTTCCCCCTCCATTAGGCGGTTTTTTTCCAAAAAACTATTTGTTTTTTCATCGTTTTCAGCGGATCTGGAATGCACAACAACTAGAAAACGAAATTCCAAGTGATTCCAGGTGATTTGGGTAATTTTCAGCATGTCTATATTTAGCTCTGAGGAGCCTTGATTGGATTGGATTGCTTGGCTTGACTGGCTTTATTGGATTGACTGGATTGATTGGAATGCCTGGATTGACTTTTGGTAAAGGTAAACCCACTCATAAAAGACGATTCCCTAGTAAAAACGATCGTTGACCGGTAATGACGTCATTTTCAAAAATCAAAATCAAGTTCCCCCTCCTTTAAGCGGATTTTTTCCAAAAAACTACTTGTTTTTTCATCGTTTTCAGTCGATCTGGAATGCACATCAGCTAGAAAACGAAATTCCAAGATGATTTGGGTAATTTTCAGCATTTCAGCATTTCGATCTTTAGCTCTGTGGAGTGTGAAGCTGCCCGAGGCCGAAAATTACCCTAATGGCTGTGAGATACGAAGAAAAATGGCCAAAAAACAGAATCCAATCGAATCCGGCTCTCTAGCCACATAATTGATTCGTTTTCTACCGAAAAACCGAGCGCAAAACACGCGACAACAATTCCCGCGGCTAATTGCTCGGGGATTTCGTGATCGACGCAAAAAATTGCTCTCAGAAATCCCTCGCCGCGAAATTTCCGTCACCAAACGCCTAATTGGAACGCAGTTTTTCAAGAAAACGTCAAATATTTGAGAAATTTTTGATTTTCGCTCGGTTCAGTTACGCAGCTTCTTGCTCGCCGTATTTTAAGGGCATTTTTCGAATAGAATTTTTATTTTAACATCACCGTTGCTCAAGCTGGAGCGCACGCTAATCAAAATTTGCAAAAAAAGAAAAATTCGATTCAAAAATTCAAAAAATCGGTTTAGTTACCCAACCGGGAGCAATTGCTAGTCAAAATAAAGGAATTCGCAAAATAAAACTCTGATTTTATTATTTCATTGCTCTAGCTGGAGCACAGGACATCCAAATTTAGTATTAGATTTCAGAAAGTACGTCATTTGGTTAAGTCTCGTAGCCTGGGCGGCCTTGGAGTCGGATACTCCAGCTCTCCAGGGTCGACCCTCCAAAAACCGAAAAACACCTGCCCATACTTATAATTCTCGTAAAGTGCGCTCCAGCTTTTAGCTTTCCATTGAGAAAATGAGAAACCGACGTGCTAGAACTAATCAAATTAACCAGCTATGATTCGAGATATCGATTTTTGAGAAATCGCAGTCAAAATAAAGGAATTCGCAAAATAAAATCCTGATTTTATTAGCTTATTGCTCTAGCTGGAGCACAGGTCATCCAAATTTAGCATTAGATTTCAGAAAGTACGTCATTTGGCTAAGTCTCGTAGCCTGGGCGGCCTTGGAGTCGGGTAGACCCCCAGGGACTCCAGCCACCCAGGGCCGACCCTCCAAAAACCGAAAAACACCTGCGCATACTTATAATTCTCGTAAAGTGCGCTCCAGCTTTTAGATCTCGATTGGGAAAACGAGAAATCGACGCGCTAGAACTAATCAAATTAACCAGCTATGATTCGGGATATCGATTTTCGAGAAATCGCAATTCCTGTGGAAATTATTCGATCATTCTCGTAAAGTGCGCTCCAGCTTTTAGCTCTCCATTGAGAAAATGAGAAATCGACGCGCTAGAACTAATCAAATTAACCAGCTATGATTCGAGATATCGATTTTCGAGGAATCGCAATTTCTGCGGAAATTATTCGATTTTTGGCCTCAATGCCTTCCAATTCGATGGCCCCGGGCTGCAATTTGGCGAAAAATGGCAGACTCCTGCAAAATTTTTGAGTGAAAAAATTCGCGGGTTAAAGGAAAGAGAGGCGGAGAACCAATTCAATCCAAAACCGCAAAACGGGGCTCCAAGCCGGTTGAAAACGATTGAGAATGCATTTCAGAAAAGTTGTTAGCTTTGAGGAAATAGGTGTTAAAGAAAGGAAATGGAAAGAAAAAAAAAGAAAAAGGCGAAAAATTCGGTTTAGTTACGCAATAAAAGTGATTGTTGGTTTAAGTTCGGAAATTTGAAAATGAAAGTCTCATTTCTTCATTTTAACATGCGAATTGGAACGCACAAGGAGGGAATTTAAAGAAAAGAAAAGAATTTGAAGGAGTTGAAAAAAGTCGATTTAGGTTTTGGCATTTTGGGGCTTTAAATGGAAATTTTCTTTACTTAGCTTTTTCGTTTATTTAATTTTTGTGAATCCTGGAGGTCACTGAGTTTAATTGGCAAAGAAAACGCGCTCAAAAAAGATTTTTTTCGAATTAGTTTTCAATAAGAAACGCTTCATCGCTTTAAATGCAAATTTCTTTGCTTAACTCTTTCGTTAATTTAATTTTTGTCAATCCTGGAGCGCACTGAGTGAAATAAGCAAAAGAACTCACGAGAATCACTTTGTTTGGAGGTCGACGGGGCATCGGTGGCGTCCAACTGCGAAAATCTAAACAAAACTCTTTGGAATTAGCTAGAAATTGGATTTTTCTTTGCTAAAAAAGGCCTGCCAAGCCACAAACATTAACTTTTTTTCTTCTGATAGTGGGAAAGGACTGTTGACTAGTGAATTGAGAAGCGCCTGCATGAGCTCACGCCAACACGCTGACCAGCCTAGGCCAGGCTAGGCCAGCCTAGCCAGCCTAGGCCAGGCTAGCCAGCCTAGGCCAGGTAAAGTTAGGGCTAAGCCAATAATCATTCAGGTAGATGTATTTCAATATGTAGAGAGTGACTAGCTTTATCCGAATACAGCTGGTCGGAAAAGGGAATTGAGCAGGGAAGAATGGTGATACTAACAAATTAACCGAATCACCGAATCATCGTAAAATAGAGAATTTTGAGCGTTGTGCGTTCCAGATCGCTTGAAAATAATGAAAAAACAAAAGGTTTTCTGGAAAATTGGGCTTAATTTCCGGTAAACTGAAAAGTTGCGTAATTGAGCCGAGCTTATCTTTATCTAGTCGTCGTGAAATAAAGAATTTTGAGTGTTGTGCCTTCCAGATCGCTTGAAAATGATGAAAAAACAAAAGGCTTTCTGGAAAATTGGGCTTAAACTAGCGTAAACTGGAAAGCTGCGTAATTGAACCGATCTTATCTTTGCCTAGTCGTTGTGAAATAGAGAATTTTGAGTGTTGTGCTTTCCAGATCGCTTGAAAATGATGAAAAAACAAAAGGTTTTCTGGAAAATTGGGCTTAATTTCCGGTAAACTGGAAAGTTGCGTAATTGAACCGAGCTTATCTTTGCCTAGTCGTTGTGAAATAGAGAATTTTAGCTGTACTGACTTCCAGATCACTTGAAAATGCCAAAAAAGATAGAGGTTTTATTGGAAATTATCGAATTAACAGTAGGACAAGCTTAGGCTTACTTGAAAAGGTTCGGTTTTGTGAAAACTAGTGAATGATAAGCTTTTAAGTGACAAGGAACTTCTTTACCGAGTACTGAGAATCGTGCCAGACCCAAAGAAAGTTAGAAAATCTTGAAAATGGTAAATCTGGAAGGCACAAAAACTAATGAAGCTAAGGAATTGATCAGTGAAACGATTTGACTCTGACACTTTTGGTCGAATAGGTAGCTGGGGGAAATTTTGCTTGTACTTGAGCCGCCCTAGGCTCGAAGCTAGATAAATCTCCGATCTGGAAGGCACACAAACGAATGAAGCTAAGGAATTGATCAGTGAAACGATTTGACCTGAGTGATATTTTGGTTGAGTAGCTGGACGATATTTCGCTTGTACTTGCGCCGCCCCAGGCTCGAAGCTAGATAAATCCTAGATCTGGAAGGCACAAAAACTAATGAAGCTAAGGAATTGATCAGTGAAACGATTTGAGTCTGACACTTTTGGTCGAATAGGTAGCTGGGGGAAATTTTGCTTGTACTTGAGCCGCCTTAGGCTGGGAGCTAGATAAATCTCCGATCTGGAAGGCACAAAGACTAATGGAAGTCAAAAAAGTAGAAGTTAACCAAAAATTTTGCTTTTTATTATTTTACAATTGTGAGACATTGAAAATTTGCGGTAAGAAATTGTTTCCGGTAAGAAATTGTTTCCAGTAAGAAATTCGCCTCCAATTCCCCTCCGCTCCCCGTTTTCGTCTCATTGCTCACAATGGTCCCATTTTAAGCGTTTTTTTCTTTGTCTGGATGGCACAAGAGCCAAATTTAGCCCGTTGCCTGGCTTTTTTTGGCGACAAAAAGGCCAAAAAAGGCAAAAAGGCCAAAAAAGGCCAAAAAAGGCATAAAGGCAAAGGCAAAAAACGAGCCCATCTCCCCGAAAATCGGGGCGATTCAATTTCGAACATCCTTGCCTGAATTCTCGAAATTCTCTGAAATTTCCTCTTTTGTTTTTGTTCGCTATGACTCGCAGCACGCGCATTGTGACGCGTTAAAAAAGATTTGCGAAATTGGAGAGAAATTGGAGAGAAATTGAGAGAATTCCGTGACCTCAGCAGAAGCTGAGCAGAAGCAAAGCACAAATTTTTGTTCGACCTATGAAGTGGCTATTTTTTTTGAATATTTAGCCCTTGTGCTATCCAGCTTTGACAAATTTGAGCAATTTATGCAAATTTGAGGTTTCGAACAAGGCAAAAAGCCGAGAAGTCAGATGCGCTAGAACCGAATTCTCTGAACTCAGGCTTAGGCTCATTTTGAGTGAGTATCTAGCTGCAGTGACATCCAGATTGACCGAATTTCATTTCGCCGAGTTTTTCAGCGATTCCACGGCGGTTCAATTACGCAATAACCCAAAAACCCAAAACCAAATTTGTCAAATCATTGAAAACCCAAGTCTAGGCGAATACTCTAGCTGCAGTGACATCCAGATTGGCCAAAGCTCTCATTTAATTCGCATTCTCACCTTTCTGCTAGCTTCTGCGCGCCAGGGTCCACCTCGGAGACGTCGATCTCTGGCAGAGCGTTCCGGCGCCCGGACCGGCCCGAGCTCGAGAATTGGTGCATTCTCTCGTCGGCCCCTGACTCCAATTCGCCCATCTAGAAAGCGGAAATAGGGATAAAGTCCAAAATGAGAGCAATCTAAAAGAGAAATTGGGAATTTTAGCGAAATTTGAGTTCAAAATCGGCCAAAATGCCAGAAAATAAGCGAAATCGAAAATTTTAAGCGAAAAACTGAATGCAAATGTATATTTTTTTTTAAAAAGTGTTTCCTGGATGTCACAGTAAGTTTTGAGAATGAGAAAAAGATCAAAAAGATTAGTTCAAAAGTGGACAATGATGAGCAAGCTGTGAGCGGGGGAAAAGTGAGTGAGTCGATCTTGCGGAGAAAAGGAGAACGAGAAGAGCGATGGCAAAAAGAGGAAAGGGATTGGGCGGGGCATCTAGGCATCGATCTAGCTCTGTCTCTGTCTCTGGGAGCTCTGTGAGGGGAATTCTCTGAGAGCTCCCCTTTCTCCCTTCCCCCCTTTCTCCCTTTCTCCCTTTCTCCCTTTCTCCCTTTCTTCCCCTTCTTCCCCTCTCTTCCTCTTCCCCAAACCGATTGCGTGTTGCCAGGCACGGCCGGCTGAGTCCCACCCTTCTTCTCTCTTTCATTCGTGTGTTTGGATGATCAAAAAATGGAGAAGTGAGAAAATTGGACGTTTCAAACATCACTTTGCATCATGGATGGACCAGGTCCAAGGTCTGACTGCTTTCGGCTGACTCGGGGGAATTTTTCGCTGAAGAAAAGCCCAGAAAGCCTAGACTAGCTCAGAAAGGCCTAGACTAGCACAGAAAGGCCAAAAGCCGACCCAGACCAGAAAGGCCTAGCTTAGCCCAGGAAGGCCTAGACTAGCTCAGAAAGGCCTAGCCTAGCCCAGAAAGGCCCAGCCTAGCCCAGAGAGGCCGACCCAGATCCAGGCTACACCTGTCTAAAATCCAAACCAGGCTCAGGTACGGCTGGTTTCTTAAGGGAAGCTAGGCCAGACCTTACAGGTTCTAAGGCTTGATCGGAGCATGCCAAGGAGACTGCAGGGTGATTAAAAATTAAAAACTTTACAAAAGAATCTCGATTTTTAAGCGAAAATCTAGATAGAAATTGGACTTACTACCGTAAATACTGTAAGCGAAAATACTGAAGCGCCCCTCGAATAGCGTGTGTTCCCCTTAAGAAATAGTCTGAAATAGGAAACAAGTCAGGTCGAAATCAATCGAATATCTTCAATATTCAATATAAAATTTGTAAGATATTCTGTTTCTTTTAAATGCACTCGTTTCCTACTGTGGACTATTTGTTGAAAGGAATACACTCTACCCTCGAAGCGCTCTAGAATAGAAGTCCTCTAGAATAGAAGTCTTGTAGAATAGAAGTCCTCTAGAATAGAAGTCTTGTAGAATAGAAGTCCTCTAGAATAGAAGCCTTGTAGAATAGAAGTCCTCTAGAATAGAAGTCCTCTAGAATAGAAGCCCCATCGAATGGAAGTCCTCTAGAATAGAAGCCCCATCGAATGGAAGCCTTTGCAATCAACTCGCCTTTGCAATCAGCTCGCCGCGACCAACTTTCGGTGGCTCGTTCTCAGCGTGATCGAAAGATTACGCTCTCAAAACCGATAACTTTTATGTGGACGTGTGCAAAGATATTTTGATACCAAAAAAATAAAAATTGATCAACTCTGCGAAGACTTGATGCCTTCTTAAGTTGAAAATGACGTTTTTTGACTTTCTGCCCGCTAAAACGTGGACAATCTATTGATCTATTGACAATACGTGGACAATCTCGGGCGTGTTTTTAGTTTTACATGCGTAGGGAGGATAATTAAAGTTAAAACAAAGCAAAAAAGGTCTTTTGGGTGTTAAAGTCTGCTGATATTTCTTTGAATGCACCGTTCAAAGTAAAGATCGGACAACAGGATGAGAATTGGCTTTGCCATCGGCTCCGGATTCTCCGGACTCCGGAAAAGCACGAAAAGATGAAACGGGTGGTGGCAATCCAAAACCTCCTTCAATGGACATCTACTTGAGCTCAATAGACAGCGTTTGTGAATGCTTGGGACACAATCAGCGACAGCCATAGCGACAGATGCGGCAGCTGAGGGATTCTTTGTACGGCCGTGTAATCGCTCTCCATTTGGCAAAACCCTCTGGTATAGGGGATTCTCGTTCCGATTTTGAATTTTTTAAATTTCTTTAATTGTTGAAATTTTAGCAGTTGTGAGTTCCAGAATGATCGATTTTCAGAAAATTTTTGAAAAAAAACTAAATTTAAACGAGTAAAGGCTGGCTGAATCAGCCCCAGTATCAACACTTGGACTCAGGGCTTACTTGTCAAGGAGAAGACCCAGCTTAGCTCAGCCCAGCTCAGCTTAGCTCAGCTCAGCTTAGCACAGTTAGGTGCCGGGCAACGGACAAATTAACTCCGTGATCGTACTGGGAATAAAATTAGCTCAAAGTCTACTAGCCCAATTTTCCGACTCCTCTAAAAGTCTCAGGCTTACAGAAAAACGAAACAAATAAGAAATGAGAGTCCTGAGGGAGACGGAGAAGAAATCCTATCATTTTTAGCTTTTGTTTTCTCAAAAAGAAGAGCCAGCATCTTCTCCATAATGATACCCGACGTGTTCTCTTCTCTTTCGGCGATTTCCCTATGCCCTTTCGCAATGAAATTGGCCTAGAGCTTCATTCTGGAATGCACAGCACTGAATTCATTACTCTTCGAAGGGGATCAATGTTTGAGAGATTTTGTCCTGCTAAAGCGTGCCCCGACTACCGTAATCTTGTCCAAAAAATCAGAATTTTCAATTTTCAATCAATTTTCATTTTTCTCGAATTTTACCCTCTAGTGACATCCAGAATTGATGAAAAGTTGAAAATTCGTCGAGTTTTCACTGTATGCTAGCCTGTATTCTTGTTGACAACGTTTGAAACGACTTACCTCATTTTCCGATTTAGTTACCCAACCCCGCGCTCCCCAAACGTACTTTGTGTGAAGCGAACTTTGCAAACACCCATTTCCTAGCCAACTTTAATCCGAATTTCCCTCGATTCGGCGCTTTTTTCGCGGAAATTTGACACATTTAAGCTGAAACCTTATCTTTTTAAAAGGGAAATTCAAAAGTTTAGAAAAAATTTCAAAAATATGAATGAGAGCTGAAGTGGAAGCATTTCTCGTCACGTTTTAGTGCTCCCGTTTAGTCACCCAACCCTTTGTGTTTATGGAAACAGGGTCAGCGCAAATTTTGAATTTCTGAACTTGAGAAGAACTCTAGTGACTTCCAGAACCGCCAAAAAACCGTTTACTGATTAATTTGCATTACGGTAGAGAGAGAAATGGGCACCGTTTAGGAAACTGGTACGGTGCTGGCTGAAACCGCTAATTTTAAAGTTTTAAGCTGCGAAGCATCCCTAGTGACTTCCAGAATAGCCAAAAAACCGTTTCCTAACGAATTTGGATTACGGTAGGAAGAGGAAACGGTTTAGAAAACGGATTCTACAAAACTCCTGTTCGTTTCTCATCCAAACAGTGGTCCAGTTCAGCTATTCAGTGCTGTGCATTCCAGAATGGGACTCTAGGCTGATTTTGTTGCGTTTTAACACTTTGAAACACTGTTTTTAGGGTCAGCTAACGATTGGGTACTGTAGAATGGGCATTTTTTAGGATTGGATACGAATTTGAGATGAAATTGTCGCTAAGTCTCGTCATCATTTTAGAAAACCCAAAACCTTTACCCGAAATAAAAGCAAACCGCTTGAATCAGATTCGAATTTTGCATAAGTCGTGTATTCCATTCTTGAAAAAAGAACACATAAATTTCTCTATCTTTTTCGAGGCTTTCCCTTGATTTTTGGTGGTCATTTCTCATCCAGGACACCAGGAAAATATTTGCGGACGGGGAATTTATGCAAAGCCGAGAGCCAGCGGGTTTTTGATCTTTTTGGTGTTTTCAGAGTTTTGTGACGAGTTGGGTAACCAAGCCGGAATCTAGATTTGACTGAATTGCCACAAAATTGGAATTATTATTTATTGTGCGTTCCAGATCGCTCAGAAGACCAGTCAAAATGAAAAATTGTCAGAAAATTTTTGAGAGATTTCGAGGCGAATGAAATTGACAGAGTTGGGTAACTAAACCGGGCTCCGAAAAGTGCCCAAATGGGAAATGTTAGTTGTTGTGCGTTCCAGATAAGAAGATTTCGACACGAAAAATTTCAAAAACTAAATAAAACGGTCTAAATAAGCAAAGTGAACGTTTTCAGAGTCCCATCCCTCCCCGCAGCCAGCCACCAGTCAGCAGTCACAGCAATAGCGATCCGAATCTCCGCCTAGACGTCCAGAAACAGAAATAAATGCAAATTCTTATGCAAATTCATATGCAAATTTGATAACAAATGTAAATTTCCCTCACCGAGGCCTTCGTTTTTAAATGCAAATTTCGATGAATGATGAAAATTATTCGATTTTTTCTAAAACCAAATTCTTCTTCTTTTTTTCCGGAAACGTTTTCAATGCATTCCAGATTTCAAGAATTTCTCGTTTTAACGGTGCAACTTTATAATTTTTTGTAAAGAAACAATCTAATTGAAGCTGATTAAGTTTTTCGATCGATAAATGAATGCCAATGGGTTTCGTGCGTTGCAGAATTGAGCTCAAAAAAAGGAATTCTGAAGATTTGGACAGTGTTGATCAATTTATCAGTGTTAATGTGTTCTGTGAGTTCCAAATTGGGAGATTCAATGAAACATTGTGGAATCCCCAAAGGCCCGAAGAAGCCGTGAGCGACTGAGCCGGCTTCGCCTCTTTGGGCGTCATTATCCCCAAATTCTTGGGAAGAATTTTGCTTCTACCGTGTGCGTTTATGCAAAAAACTGAGAAGTTTCATGTTGAGGTAAGCGCGCGGCTTCTGGTACAGGGTTTTGAAATATATGTGTCGTAGCCGATTATGAATGAAATTTTTTTGGCAAATCTTTCTAGTAGAGCAATCCTTTAATGTATGAGGACAATATTATATCATTTTGTAGCTAATTAAATTCTGCATCGATTGGTACCAAACTTGTGAGTTTAGGTT